GGGTGGAGAGGAAGTGGAAAGGTGGCGGAGGTGTTATTCGTCATGAGGTATTGGATTAATGGGTGGCGGGAACGGGGCGAAATTGTAGGATGTATTAGTTAGAAAGATATCGAAGAGAGTACGTAAAGGAAAATGGGGATAGGTGAGTAGGCGGAACAGGAAGAGTTAGAGGTGTGACAAAATATGTGGAGCAAATGAGGGGAAAGAGCACGATGAAGATTTTGTCGCGAGTAGTCATAGAAGAATGTATCTAAAGAATCGGGGATGGCGATCTTTATACAAAGTGGTTAGTGTTTACCTACAACCTTCACTAATTCATACGTGGATCATCACCCCTATTTTACATATTCTCACAATTTTAGATCTCCATCACGGCAACGGCACGCAGGTAACTTTCGGCGCCCTATTACGGCTCTTGTATTATTGAATTGTTTTGATCGCACATTTATCCTTTTGAATTTTGGCACACAGGACATCGCCTGGCATCTCAACAAACTTCACTTCCTCCCCCCCGACTCCGATGCCTCTGTCTCTTTCTCCGACCCGGACACTCTTCCCACAGGCGTTCCTCTGCGCGTCTTCTACGGCTCGACGCACGACATCTTATCGTACCCCTGCGAAGGTGGGGACGATGACTTCGTGCAGGCGGCCTCGATCCGCCTCCTCGCGCACGACCAGGCCGTCTGGAACGTGCACCTCGAACCCTGGTCCACGGCCGCGGAGCACGACGCTCTCTACGACTCCAGGTACCGCGAGATCATTACCAAGGCGCGCGAGTGGCTCCGCCGCACCGACGCCGACCCCGCTAAGACCGTCATCTTTATCTCGTGCGGCTTCGACGCCTCCGAATACGAGCACCGTTCCATGCAGCGCCATGGGAGGTCCGTTCCGGCATCGTTCTACCACCGGTTCACATGCGACGCTGTCGATCTCGCGCGGGAGTGCGCACAGGGAAGAATTATTTCTGTCCTAGAGGGCGGGTACAGCGACCGGGCGCTCGTGGCCGGGGCGGCAGCGCATGTAGTCGCACTGGCGCGTGGGTGCGAGGGAGAAGCGTTCGTCGCGCTGCCAGAGGAAGTTGAGGCGTGGTGGGACGTACAAGAACTTGAGGCTATTGAGAAGCGCGTGCTGAGCCCAGCTGGGAAGACGAAGAAAACGGTGAGGAAGGGCGCTGGGGGAGAAATCCTCGCGCCGGAACGGCCCGCACTGATAGAGAGGGTGGCAGAGTTGGTGGCGGCATGGGAGGCGGCAGATAAGGAGGTTGTGGCGGAGGCGGTGCAGGTTGTGGTGCCGCAGCCCTTGGTTACGGGTAAACATAATTTGAGGGAGAGGAAGAGGCAGTCGGACATGGGGTATGGGGCTGGGGCTGGGGCTGGGGCTGGGTCGCCTGCTGGAAAGGGCTGATGGAGCTGTGATGATGGACTTTTTGCCGCGTTATCTAGTCCCTGTATCGCCATCACCCAACAAATCTCCGCCTTTACTTTTACATCCACATTGTTCTAGTGTTCATTTTGCAATTCCTCGGAATGCCCCACCCCTTAAATCCACAATCGCGCACTCTTGCACAACATAATGCACACTCTTTGCACAACGTGAATTCAGATTTGCTCGGCCCGACACATCTCGACACGCGGTGGTTAACGGAGACAATGGTACGAGGGAGGACAACGCCACCGCACGTAAGGATGAAATGATGGATAACCTGTGAACGGGTTGGACAATGGCGTCGGCCCCTTCGCTCTTTTCCCCCGAATTGCAGCACACTATACACTATACACTTGTACCTCCACGAAAATTTGAAAAAAAAAAAAAAAAAAAAGCGAAATCGGACGGTTAAAAAAGGTTAACAAAAATTGTGCTTCAACTCGGGATCGAACCGAGGACCTTGTCCGTGTGAAGGACACGTGATAGCCACTACACCATTGAAGCATTTATTACTTAAATAATGATAATTAGTAGTTATAATGATGTATATATACCAGACAGCAAAATCACAAAACATTGTTCGCCAAGAGCACAATACAATGCGATGCTTTAACCATATACATCCCGCATTCTTTTCGAGGCACCTAAGGACGAACTGTTAGAACGTTCTCCTCCCCCCCCCCCCCAAAAAAAAAAAAAAAAAAAAAGAGGGACGCTGTGCAAAAGTAGAAACTTCATACGACGTCAGACGGATCCAGCAAAGTAGGTTACAACCAACATGCACCGCAGTTTCAATAGGCAGGGAAGATTATTTATTCTTTTTTTCTGGGGGGAGGGGGAGGGGGAGGGGCGAGTTGCGACGTATCCACAGTAAACTTTCGTGTAAATTTTCTTCCACGAAACCGAGATAACACAGTTGTGATCTCTAGCAACGATCCTCCATGCTCCGACAGGTGATAGTGGGCTATACCGAGGTCCATTACACGTGGTACTACTCTTACTGCGGCACCAACTTATCGATGCGATGACAAAACTTAACTTGATTTCGACGCTCCCGCCATTAGCACTGCGTTCGGGTAAAAATATATACCTGCCAACGTCTCTTGAAAATGTCAGATATTCGTGGGTAGAAGATGCCTAATATGTTTCGCGTCGTCCATCAAAGATATGATAGAGTATTATATAAGCTGTTTATGATAATGAAAACTAAGATGTATGAAACCGAATGATTATATCAAAGACTGCTCCTCACGTGTCATTTTCGTGTTGATGAGTCATCAAATTCTCAGGTCCTCAAACCACACAAGTCACACCACACCACTATAGGAGTATGTATATCTTGGTCCGCGAGGCGTGTGTAACTATTATACTATTTTTTGCAATGAGGCTTGACCACAAAAAATGTGGGTTTTGATTAGCAGGCCAATATACCAAGATAAAGAAACGGACATATTGCTCCGTCGTTCACACTCGCCGTCCAGACCTTGGCTTCAAACTCCCCTTAATAGCCAAGGGTTCCGTGTGGAACTTGGCTTTTGGCAAAGTGGGCTGGTAATTATTTATCCGCTGCCGGCACGTGCATAATGACGTAAAGGGATCACCGTCGAGCGGGGAATTATAATCTCTACATTCAAAAGGATCGCGTTAACCGTCGGGGTTGAGTCAAGGGATCTGGGCTTCAGAGCTAATGGCGATGAGAGCGACGAAGGCCATATTGCAGTATGCGCACCAAAGTTAAAGACATCCATGGTTGGATGCATTGACATACCCACCAAGTCTGACCACAAGTCTGACCACAAGTCTGACCACAAGTCTGATCACCGGAAAAAATTGGACGCGGTTTTCATCTACCATACTCGGGCTTGTGCCACACAATGGCAGGGAGCTGCAGAATGACCTCAACCGCTTGCCACAAACAGATGGGTAAGAGTTCGCCATTTTTAACCGGATCTGTCATCATTCCACGCAAAACAAATGGATCGGGAAACGTTCTGCCGTGAATGTGACCTTTGGGTAACCTGACAGGGGGCTAAAGGTTACACGCCTCAATGATTGATTAAGTATATAAAAGCCGTCGACAGAAGAGGCCGCCGTTTGAGTGCAGCACTGCGGTGGACTCTCATCCTTGGAGACACACATATATAACACGACGCGCCAACATGACAATCCAATCGGAGAAGGGTACGTCATTAAGTAGCGAGGTCAATATTGACCCCTCCGCGTCTAACGGCAAGGTGGGCAACACCAAGATTGACAACAAAATCGACAAGGAGATCCTCCTGGAGTTCGGCGGTCCTGTCGGCGTCACGGCGATGATGGTCTTCTTCCCCTTCCTCATGTACTACTTCTGGGTCTGCCTTGAATTCCACGAGGGAAAGTTGCTAGTACCCGCGGCCTTCACATACGAGGCGTTCAAGGATGTTTTCTACGATGAGTTCTGGGTCAGGATCACCACCGACGCGTTCCCGACCGTTTATGCCGCTCAGATATACCTCGGCTCCACCCTACTTTCCGCCATCTTGGCGTACGTGATGCCTGGGCCAATAATTCAAGGGTTGCCTGTTCCATCATTGAACGGTGAGACGGTACGTATGTCAAACTCTTGGGTGTGGTCGGTTTATGTTACATCGTACGGATAGGCTTCGATAGTTGATCGCGTTTGGCTCGGGTGGCTTAGCAGCCGACGTTACGCATGCATGACGGCAACCAATGAGATTGCTAATTACGGAAACGCCATCGGTGTAGCCTTTGTCTGGAATTTGTCTGGACACAGGTTGGCCAGATAGATATTGTGGAATTTCACTTTGTCATCACTCCGTATCGACCCATTCTCACCTCTTGCCCTTTTTTTTTTTTTTTTTTTTGGGGGGGTTTTTCAGCTTAGCTACCTCTGCAATGGTCTTTACTCCTGGTACGCGACTTTGGCCCTTTCAGCCATCCTCCATTACACAGGTCTTTTCCTCCTCACCGACATCATTGACAACTTCGGCCCGATCATGAGCGTCGCGATAATCTTCGGCGTGGTCACCACCTTGCTGACCTACATCATTACCGTGGCCACGGGGGCGCAGCACCGTATGTCCGGATACCTCATGTACGACATCTTCATGGGCGCTCCCCTGAACCCACGCATCGGCAGGCTGGACCTCAAGATTTGGGCCGAGATCCGCGTCCCTTGGGTAATCCTTTTCTACGTCTCGCTCTCGGCCGCTCTTAAGCAATACGAAGTCCACGGGTACGTGTCAGCTCCGACGGCGTTCATGGTAATGGCACATTTCTTGTACGTCAATGCGTGCATGAAAGGAGAGGAGTGCATCCCGACAACGTGGGATATCTTTTACGAGAAGTGGGGTACGTGATTTGTTTGGCTAGGTGAAATTTTATCGATCAAATTGTTAGTGTGACATTTTAATTAACTATTGTATTCAATTTTATATACAGGCTTCATGCTCATTTTCTGGAACTTTGCCGGTGTCCCTTTCACTTACTGTCATGCGACCCTCTACCTGGCCAAATGGGATCAAATCCATGGCTCGCCCCTGACCTTCTCGCTGCCCTACATTATTTTCGTCTACACTCTCTGCCTTGTGGGCTACTACGTCTGGGACACGGCCAACTCGCAAAAGAACCGATTCCGCATGCAGCTGGCGGGCACTTATATTCCGCGCAACACCTTCCCGCAGCTCCCCTGGGGGACCATCAAGGAGCCGACATACGTTCGGACCGAGCATGGCAACCTGCTGCTGACGTCCGGGTGGTGGGGCATTGCGCGCAAGATTCACTACACGGGCGACCTGGCCATGGCTATCTCGTGGGGACTGATCGCCGGTTTTGAGAGCCTGATTCCGTACTTCTACTTTGTCTTCTTCCTAGTCGTACTGACGCATCGCGTGACGCGGGATATGGAGAGGTGTGCCAAGAAGTATGGCAAGGATTGGGAGACTTACTGTGAGCGTGTGCCGTGGATTTTTGTCCCGGGGGTTTATTAGATGGTTTTAAAATAATGGTTCGCTATTGGATGTAATCTTTTTCTTTTCAACGTATCGGTTGGAAATGCATTTCCTCATTCTTTATTTTAGGCGATATGTCGTTAAATCTCGGATTTTCCATTAATTTTGACTCGCAGTTTCCAACAATATATTCCTTTCACACACAAGAGAAACTGCACCTCATTCGTGAATGGTGGATAATTTTGTTACCTGTCCCTCGTAACCCGTAAATCCCCTCCAATCAAAAATGGTACACATCATCGTAAAGATTTCACCTCATTGCTCATGACGAATTTTGATTACGTAACGACGCAAATGATTTTCTTCCAGCAATGCCGCGAACCACCAACGGTCTTTCAAGAATCCCAGTAGCCCAATAACGTCATATTTCGGAAAGGGCGTGTATGAAATATAAAGATGCGACGGCGGGCCATATGGCGATATTATCCGGCGACGACCATCTTCATGTCTGTTTGGGTATACCCGGGGATGAGGTAGTGTCGACGGGATCTTTCATTTTTCGGTATCTGTACAATACCTGTGTCCATGGCATCTTTCGACGTGTGGTGCGAGGGTCGTTGATGCATAAAA